AAATCTATGATATAATTACATTTCTTTAACTAATTCAACGTCAGCCAGAGGTGGTCCATGGAAGGAGACCGCTGATTTCAAAGGCACATTCTAGAAGCCTAGGAATAGTAGAGGGATTAATGTGGATGGCAGCAGAAAATAAAGACTGTGCTCTGTGCTGGCCTATCATAGGCACACATGAAGCGAATGGATGGTAAGATGGATGGATGGATGTGGGTGTTGTACAAACCCAAAAAATAGGAGCCCTAGGAAGTCTGCAGGCCATTTCTTTTTACTTGAGAAGCTAGTAGAAGCTCATCCCTTGATAAAATGTTAGCTACATTATGTATTGGAAGTGAGTTATATTTGTGCTATGCATGCATGCACTTAGGAGCCCCTGGGTGGCATAAACAGTTAAGCATGCAGCTACTAACTGAAAGGTGGCAGTTCGAGTCCACCCAGAGGTGTCTTGGAAGAAAGGCCTGGCTGTCTACTTTGGAAGGGTCACAGTCATGAAAACCCTATGGAGCACAGTTATACTTTGCAACGTATGGAGTCATCATGAGTCAGAATCAACTCCACGGCAACTGGTTTTTTGGCATGTACTTAATTACTACTAGAGAATCGTAGTTATGGTGCACTGATGTGGCCTCATCCAGAAAGGACACTTAGAATTCAGTGACTTGAGATTCAGTGTGCGTTTCTATCTCAAAGCCAGTCATTTGCAATTTTTTATATTAAGTTAGATTTTGCTGGCCTTGGCTAAAAGCACTGGGAAGATCAAAGAGTAGATATGAAGAGGCAATAGCTGGTTTCCAAAAATCCATTGGCTTGGGAGTCTTCGCCTTGATTGGAGGTGTCAGCACACAAGCACAGGGACTAATCGTGGAGCTAAGGCGGGAGAATACAAGACTTGTAAAATCCACGAACTCAGACCATTTCTCTCTTAGCATATGATTAGGCGGAGCTTCACCTTTCATGTAACAAAATATATATATTTAGACAAACAAAATAATAAATAATAAAACTGTGCCAAGAAGCTAGACTCATTCATTTACTAAACATTGTCTTTTGCTTTGGATATTATGTATAGCATTTATGTAGCTATTGTCTTATTTGAATATATCTGCAGCTTATACATATGCTTGTATCTTTCAAAATTGCAACATACTATCATCAGATAACCCTATTCTCAAGGAAAGATAGCTGAACTCCTCACTGGGGGAAGCTCTAGTGTAGACTGTTGGTTATTTTACCAAATTATATACCAGGCATGGTCTGGTGTTTTCCATACCTGACATTATTTTGTGTCCTACCAGGTTGTATTATTTAGGGAACTTGCCTGTTTGATAGTATAATATAAAGCTTACCAAAAATATACAAGGTATTATTTAATGTTTTATCCGGAAGGAATCCTAAAGAATGTCTACTCAGTCTCCTGGAAGAGCAGGTCAGGTGGTAGGAGCCCAGAGAGGTTCAGGCACTGGCTCAGGGTCACACAGGAGCCAGTGCCAGACCCTGAATGAGCCCTGGCTGGTAATGTCTATCCAGGCTCTTGGTTTTTCTATTCTGTTCCGTAAATGGATAGCGTTCAGAATTGTCCTTCAAGTTAGATAGTGATTCCTGAAGACATAAAGCATTCTCTGTTGTTGCAAAAGGGTTTGTGAAATTTTCACGGAGAAAATATAGTTAATTAGTTTAAATTTAATTCTTGTTTTTAAAATTGAATTAATTTTAAAGCAAGCATAACAGCAGTTTGGGGAGGAAGTCAGGTGTTAGGGCAGGTTTAGAATACCCGAAATCACTGATCTCAGACTGATTAAGAAATATAAAAATATATATATACATATATGTATGTGTGTGTGTATACACACAATCCTCATGACCATTCTGAGAATTCAAGATGCTTCTATGGACAGAGAGGTCTCAGGCAAGAGAATTCATAATAATAATAAAAAGACACACTAGTTCTAGTTACATCTTCTTTATTTCCTTTAGCTTTTGTTCCGATTGTGGCTGTATGAGTTCTGACAGTAAATTCATGTCTGTAATCCTTTCATTCTAGTCACATAGGATCCACGCAAAGGGTACGTTAGTGAGAATGTGGCTAGCGTGAATGGTAGAAGCTAATACTTTTCCCATCTGTATCTCTGGTGCTCTAAAATGCGGAGGCAATTGCTTTAAATCTGCTTTTTTGTCTGTGTCCTTTTTCCAGTATGAGCACATAGCAAAAAAGTTTGCACAGTTTTAATTCTTTAGCCTAAAACATACACTATGTAAGGATAAACTAAAATGCATTCCTATATCCTGTATTGGAGCCCTGGTGGTGTAGTGGTTAAGAGCTCAGCTGCTAACAAAACAGTCCACGAGCCACTTCTTGGAAACCCTATGGGGCAGTTCTACTCTGTCCTGTTGGGTCACTATGAGTTGGAATCGACTCAGTGGCAACAGGTTTGGTTTTGGTTTTTTATATCTTGTATTATTTATATAATCTTGAAAATTCATATGTGTAAGCTTGGTTTTTCTTTTCCTCACCTCACTCAGGCCCTTTCTAGCACTATATGCCTCCCTGCCCAGCGCAGGAAACTCCACTTGTAGTCTTGCCGAGACTAGTGAGGTTGGACTCATGTATGAAAGGCCCCCTGTCCCGAATTGAGTGAGCAATCTTGAATTTATACCTCATTTTCTATGGCAAATACACTGTATTTTTGTGCTTTAAGAAATTTACTGTATCTTCACTTCATTCTAGAAAAAAGTCAGAAATCATTAGGTTACATAAGAACCGTTTTATATTTAGAGGTTTTTTTCCATCTTGGTGATCAAACCACTGAAAGGGTAGTGTTGAGCTGGATTGAGACCCCACCTAATCTCTCAGCTGCAGTCTTCCCAGACTTCCCACACCTGCCCTGGCTGGCAGCCGACTGCCAAGTCCTGGCCTCATGCAGGTGGTACTGGTGGTCACTGGGGCATTGTTGAAGGAGGCCAAGGTCACCCAGCTGCAAAGTAAGCCTTGGCTTCATTCCCTGGGCCCAGAGTTTACCTCTGAACCAGGCAGCCAAGCCACGGGTGCGTGACTTTGTCCAGGGCAGCAGGGTGGTGTCTGGCGGTTTGGTCTGACGTCAGTTCCCTGCTCCAAGCACTTGTGCTTTGGAGGATGACTGAGGAGCAATAGGCTTGTCATTGATCATCCCTTCTTTCAGCCTCCACGTGCACCCTCTCAAATCACCTGTATTTCCTTCTGATGCATCTCCTCTCTCCTATAAACCAACCAGTTACCATTGAGTCATCT